CCTGCTTTGTTTATCCTTTTTTACCACTTATAACACATTACTCTTCACATGTCTCCAATCTCCTCACCGCTCCTGCCCCACTCAACATTTTCAACACTTCCCTTTCTACCTCTCTTCCTTGTCCCCACCACCTCCTCCTGCAGCTGCATAGAAAGGCAGGGAATATTCCTTATTCATGTTTACACATATGTCCCTTCTTCCAAGAATAGCATCGCACATATCAGGTGTTTAATGTGTGCTTAATAAAAAAGGAATTGTTGATTGCATCGACAGATTTACTGATAAGCTACTTAACCACCTTACAACTCAAAAAGTGGTGCTGAGGATAAGATCAGGGTCACACAATAGGTGATTTCTATATTTCACTCTCTATAGTTGTAAATGCCATACATTGTATCTGAATTCATATGTGCAAGAAGTTACTACAGACATACAAAATTAAATTCAGTCTCATGCTTTAAACTTTTATTATTTTCCAAATAATTCAGTAAACGACATCATAAAAAGTTCTACCTTGTTCACTGTGCTAGCCCCAGAATGTGAATGAGATAGTCCTCAATATTTACGTAATTCACTGACTAATAAATAGATTCCTTTGTTTTTCTACCTAGAAGTGCATGTTTTTCTTTCTACTTTCTTGGGTTGTGCACACAAATAAACTTTATCCAAACAGAAGAAAAAATTTTCCTTCTTATGTTTCCCCCGTAGACATAAAAGCACAGAGTATTGAATAACAGCTGTGTTGACAGAAATATTATTCTAAAACCATGTCACTTATTATTTTTAAAGTACATTTAAAACTCACTAACAAAGATCAAGTTATTTTAATTCTTTTGTAATGTAAAAAGTAAATAATCCTCTCTATAAGAAAAAAGTACCAATTCTAATCAAATGACTATGATGACATAAGAATTGAGCCTCTTCAGATAAATGTTCCACAGCATAACATTTTTTTATCTAGCAACCAGGAGTCCTCATAAACCAACACTTCTACACTTCGATAATACAGTGGTAATTGAGGTTGATAAAGATACCGAAGCTCTGTAAGATGCTAAATTAGGTTGATAAAGATACTGAAGCTCTGTAAGATGCTAAATTATCATCTAAACCACCAAAAATGTTTGCTGTCATCTTGAAGTTTAACTGAATTTTGCTGAATTCTAGTTTAATAAAAACTGCTCATCTGCAGAGTTTCTTAAACTTCGAACTATAGACATTTGGGACCAGACAATTCTTTGTTGTGAGGATGGTCCTTTGCATTGTAAGATGCTTAGCAGTATCCCTGGACATTACCCACTAAATGCTAGTAGCACCTCTTCTGCTCACCACCCTGATCAAAATGTCCCCAGGTATTGTCAAACGCCCCCTAGAGGGCAAAAATGTCCCCAGGTATTGTCAAATGTCCCCAAGTATTGTTAAATGTCCCCTAGGGGACAAAATTGCCCCCACTGAGAACCACTGCTATAGAGAGTAGAATGTGTAGCAATTCCTAAAGATCCCGAATACTCTAATATTCCATTTCCCAACCATTCTGGATGAAGTACAAGTCTTTGTTATGCTTTAGCAACATCCCATTAACATATTAGATGAACCAATAAATCCCATTTCCTTGTTATAAACATAAACCCAAAGTATTTACTGTATTCATCAACTTAACTTTCATATATGTTAGCAGCTATGTTTAACAGTAAGTTAAAAGACAAGGGGGAGTACTTCTGAAAAACTGTCCCAAGTGACTGGGAGGCCAGGGAGACTTTACAACCATGGTTGAACATGACACATAATGCACCCTACCCACCTCGCTTTTTCTCTTATTCTCTGTAAACATAGTCAATCATCTTTTCAACTGCTATCAGGAAACCTTCTAAGTTTCTCCTGCTGTTGCTCAAACTCACAAGAAGGAGGAAAAACATTACATTTTTAGTTCAAATTAAAGTGATGAAAATGAAATACACAATTCAAGAAGGTAAGGAATAATGTTGCAAAAAATAATATTAATAAATAATAATAATATTAATAAACTAATATTGCAAAAAAAAAAGAAGACCACATCATGACATTGTCACTGGCTAACCCACTCCCTAGGATATGTTTTGGTAGGAAAATGAATGAAAATTAGAGTTTCTCATTATTTCAACTTAGAAAGTGATTATTTGCAAGTGTTCCTCATTTAGTCTCACTTGACATTTTCTGAGCATCCACTAAATGTACAGAGGTGGAGAGTTTTTCTGCACTTAGATGCATGACACAATCCACACAATGGCCTTCTGTAGGTGGCACTAGAAATCCACTGACCCATATCTTATATGCTTTAATCATACAGATTTTCAAACATGTTTTCTTTGAGAGGGATGTACCTATTTTAGAAGTACAGGTCAAGAAAGGGAAAAGAGAGGACAGAGAAAATGGTATGTTTGAGAACATTTTATTAAACTGTAAAAATTCTTTTCTGAACAAAAAAGGGAAAATCATGTCAGTAGTTAGCAAATTGAAAACCTGACAAGTGATAAGGATCAACAAATTGCTTAACAAAATGTTAGCTACTTATTACAGTGTTGATGCAAAATGGAAAAAGCCAGCTGACATAAAATAACATGTTAAAACTGAAAACCTCACTAATGAAAAGGGACAAAGCTGTATAGCTCATTGGCTTTTGTGGAAAGAATGTCACATACGAAGCAATGAAACAACATGTATTGCTGTTCACTAGAGGAGCTAGAAATTTAGGGGTCAAAAACAAAATGTCAGAGCCAGTTCTCTGCCAAGTAATCACAATGTAAAAAGATTACCTACTACCCCTTAAATTGTGAGGACTCTGGGTGGCACCCACACACAGGAAGAAAAAAGAGGTAACATTTGCACTTTCTCTACGGACTTAAGCATATCCAACAGCAAGTAGGTAGCTCGTCCACATTTAAAGGAGGTTTGGTGTCTAAGTCAGTTATTTTAAAGAAACTGAGTAAATCTTGGAAGTGAAGAGCTTTGGGAGTGTTACCTAGTAGCCCTCCACAAATTTTTCTGTAAAATTCAAATGACCCAATTGTGCCCCTGGAGCACCTCAATGACTATCTGTGCACGGCAACAGATGCACTATGACCAAAGCAATAGGAATACGTTTTTGGTTTTTAGTTTAATTCAAGAAAACAAAGGGTTTGCTTGGGTATGAATTTGGAAGCAGTAGAAAAAAATGTATTTGCACCATTTAAAATGGCCATGTTCCAATGTTCTATCTTTTTTAAACTCTGCTCTAAAGGGAACAGGTATGTTCCTATAACTCCAGTCTGTCATTATCTCAACGCTTTAACCTATAAAATAAAGCAAGCCACTATTCTGTTTTTGCACTTGCTACTTTCCATTTCTACCCTTGCATTGTTTCTATGATGCATTTTTTTTATTAGGAATTGGTATTTCAGTTATGCCCATTCACAACTTCATGGATGGGACAAGTTTTCTGTTTAAGAACCCTTCTAGATGCTAGAAGTATGCATTTAGTTCACAATACTAAAATGGGAAGGGGTGTGCTAAAGCAATGAATAAGAGACAACCACACAAAACTGAAGTAAAAAAAAGAGAGAATCTGAAATCTACATTGATAAAATTTCCAACATGAAATAAAATCTCTATCACACTTTCATCCCAGGTTAGCTTGCTTTTTAAAATGAACTATTTGGGCCCATATTCACAACAAGCTACCTTAATTGGGACGTTTCCTCAGAGTACATTTAACATTAAAAGTCTTAAATTCTAATCACTTCTGTCTTGAGAAAGGCCAACATTTATCAAATGAGTATCCAGTAGATTGTGGATAACTTCCCGATACCCATTCCACCTTTCCTATAGTGTATATTAATCATGCTGTGCAGGTATTGATCCCACCCACAACTCCAGCGGTGGGTTCTGATGAGTCCAAGCCAGAAATTGCAACCCAATCAGACCCAACAGCCCCGTTATATAACAAATATTTTATAATGTCCCCTTCCTATACTACAATGAAATTCATAAGTAAATATAATTACCTCCATACATAATTTCAAAAATTAATATAATGTTTAAAATAAAATATAAATCAGAAATACAAGTAATTCAAGCAAAAAATGTATTTCAATGCGTAAATACTCAGGCATGGTAATGTAGTCAAATACCTACAACTTTAAATGGAATCACCATGAAATGAGACACATACAAATGTGGGTAATAAAGCATATTACACAGACACCTCAAATACCAGAGGATCATCCCAACTGTTACATGATTTTTTTTCAAATGGGTGAACAAATCTTGGAGAAATTCTGAACAAAGCACAATATTCTCACAATACACACAAGAGCTACATTTCTGGAAAATACAGTATATATTAAAATAGTGCCCCCCACACCCCACTTTGTGTTTAAATGGGAAACAGCTAAGTTCTAGGTTCAGATGATTATATAAAAATGTTCACCTATGTATCGTCCGGAAGTACATTGAAAAAGGTATGCGGAATGTGGCACAATTTTTTGTGGTGCAGGCTTGTCCTACGCATTAAAGGCCTCTAACATCCCTGGACCTCATCCACTACATGTCAGTTTTCCCCCCCTCCCTTCATAGTGACAACAGCAATACTCCTGCACACCTATCTATAACATTCCATGCACACACACACCCAAGGGTCAATATCACTCCCCATTAAGAATAAATGGGAATATCTTTACCACAACATTTAGTTTAGGAATAAATATGGAAGCCAGTCAGTATGAATATTCTCCTGGTTCTATCAAGGTCAACCCCATCAGCACAAAGCTCAGGACTTATCATGGAAATTCTAGAACCCTTTCTCCTTTGGGACAGTGTGGTATGTGAATACAAAATCTGGAACTGGACAAAACTGAATCAAGAGAGGGGCAGGGAACAAAAGAGATGGAGATTTACTCAATCATCCTGGAAGCCTATTTTAGTTACATAAGCACACAATTCTCTTTTAATACATAAGCCTTATTGATCTTTGTTTTTCCATTACTTACAGATGGAGGTTCTCTTGTCCTATCTTTGCCCTCCAAGGATGCGACATGACTCAGGGAAAAGAGCAACACATAGCTCCACGAAGGCAAGGATCTTGAGTGTCTGAGACAATACTGTATCCATGGAGCATAAGCTGGCAATAAATAATTAGTTCAATGAATATACCAACAAACATGGGCTCGGACAAACAAACATGGAGTAGCTTGCACTATAGTGGCTTGCGCTACCTTCATAGCTTTGCCATTTACTACCTGGGATAAACCTGGACAAACAGCCTCTCAGATTTTTTACCTGTAAAACTGAGGCCAGAGCTCTACCTGTTCACCTCTCCATCTTCATCTCACAATAATGTCCTCCTAGATTATTGTTTAGCCACACTGGCCTCCTTGCAAAACCCCAAACATCCCCCCTTCTTTCCTGAGTTATGGCCTTTGCAAAGATTACTTCCTCTGCTGGAATGCTCTTTCTCTTCCCCTTCTTATGGTTGGCTTTGCCTGCTCACTTCCTCCACCAGGTCACCCCTGACAACCCTATAGCCACACCCACATTGCTGTCACATACCCTTAATTTCTTTCATTGCACTTACCACAATCTACACTAATTTGGGTTTTGATTTGTTTCACTATTTATCTAGTGCCTCTTTCACTCCAAAGTAAAGTTGATGAGGGCAGGAAGTATAACTACCTAGTTCATCTATCACCAGCATCTTACACATAATTGTCAAAAGATTGGTCCCTACTTCTCCAGCTTACCTCATACCACCCAAACTCTATGTTCTGTATCTATCTGAACTTAATTCGTCAGACATGCTCTTACACATGCTATTCCTCTTGCCAGAAGTATTTTTCTTCCATCCCAGCATTGCGACATTACCTACCCTCTGCCTGATCCCATCTCCTTCACCCGGTTTCTACTGTTCTATCAGATCGTAACATCATTCTTTTCCAGAGGCCTTCTCTGGACCCAAATACTAAGTCAAGACCCTATACTGTCCACTGCAATAATGCCATATCATCATGCTAATCACATGCACTATAATAACTATTTAATTATCTCTTTTCCCTGGTAAAATGTAAGCTGTATGGAGCGAAGACTGTATCTTCACAGCTGCAAGCACATTGTAGTTGCTCAACAGAGCCTATTCCCTGACCTCTTCCAATAAGAACTGGTACCAAGATCTGAGGCTTTCAGCAAGAGCCTATTGCAAAAAAACAACCAGTTGTTTGTTTGCTTTTTCTCCAAATGACTGAGCAAAGCCACATTCTTTGCAAAACCTGACTCATCTAACTTGATATCAAGCAAAATGCCAGTTCAGGAGGATTGGGTAATTCAATAAATTGCTCAGCACTCCAGTGACATGCATCACACGATTGTTGTCCAATTTACGATTTGGAAACTCAACTACTCAACAACAGCAAAAATTTCTTCATTACAATGTTTTAGAGCCAGCAGATTTTACTGCTACAAGGTAAGATTTGGAAAATTCATTACAGATAGAAAGTACACGGTAATTTGAAAATGAAAATAAACATTAGAAAGAAAAAGCATGTCATAAAAATAGATTTTATACTTCATAGTAAAAAAAAATTAAACAAGAAAATAAACTATTTTTAGAAAGCATGTTTAGAGGCTGATTTACCACCTCTGAATTATTCCACTTATGGATATCATCAGCTCAATTAAGTCAGTAACAAAGCTTGCATTATATAATAAAGTAAAAAAGCAAATAAAGTGCTATTAGAAAAAGCTTATCTCTTGACTGGTCAGTAGCTAGTTAAAGAATGAGAACTTCACTTAGTCTGTGGTGTGAGCTGATAAACAATGTAAATCTCAGGACAAATCAGATGTGTGTAGAAGGAACGCATGGCTTCTTCACCCTGACTGACTTTGCCGTCCATGTGTCTCAGGAGAAAAATGCTTTTTCATGCCAGAGGCATCATAATGAATGCTGATAAGACTACTTGACTCATCACTGCCTAGACACTTATTTTGCATGCAATTCTTTAACTGCGTAAATTCACTGGCCTGCACACAGGGCAGTATTTGGTGTACGATTCCTAGCTAACCAGTAGACAGGCTTTTGTTTTTAAATTATCGAGAATTTTATTAGCAGAAAAAGTTTATTTGTTTTCATCAATTTAGAAGATCTAAGAATCTTACAAGTTATTTTATTTAACACAGTGATCTACAATTGCTATGAATCACTGACTATGGTCTGGATACAGATGGGTTAGATAGATACAAATCCAGAGTCAGAGAGAATGTGGCAGTTTTCATCTCCTTCGTGATTCTTCTGTCAACTCTGATAATTTTCAAAGATATCTGCTTTTTCCCCCTCTATAAAACTGTATCATTCTAATATTCAACAAATACAAATAGAGAACAAGCCTTTTCAGAGTATGATTTCCCCTCCTAGGGCTTGGGGAAACACAGCACAGAAAAAAAATGAGCTGTCCTTGTAATTCACAATAATAAGTATAAGGTATAAAGACATCCTGAGCTTTTTCTGTAAACAGTATATACGCAGAGGTTTATAATTAGATGTGGTTGGGGAATCGAAGACAAAAGATATTGACAGACTGAGAAATGTAAGAAGCCAGGATAACATCTTCTAACCACAAAGTGTTTTGTGGTGAAATATTTGTTAAGAGAATTAGCAAGAGCAGACAACAATTTCTTTTACAGGGAGAGGTAGGGTGAGGGGGTGTTTAGATCACAGCCATTGGCTAAGTAAGCTTTATAGAACAGTGGTTGGTAATGTTTGGGGGTTCATGAACCTCTCTGAGAATCTTATAACCTTCCACTTCTTATTCCCAGAAAAAAATACATATATGAACAAAATGTTCATAAAATTTGAGGGAATTCCCTGAACTCCCTTACATCCCCCAATAGAAGCCTCTGCTTTGGAAAGGACTCTCACCTTAAACATGGGGCAGAAACTTAAAGGGAAAAAAAACAAAAAACAAACAAACAAACAAAAAACATTGTATTAGGAACTTGTCTTCAATACAGTTGCAGCTATTTGGCCAGAAAAGTTCCTATTTCTCACCCTGCTACCTCAAGGACAGATGTACTAGGAAATGCCCTGCACAGATTCTGCCCAAAGAGTCAAAGGAACAAATGTACAGTTCATGGACAAAGGACCATGATCTAACGAATTTACATTATAAATGACCATATCCAAGCTAATGAAGAATTGAAGTTATTTTATACTTAAGAAGCACATAGGTATGCTAAAACTTCTATGAGTTGTTTTCACCATATTACTACATTCAATCTTCATAAAACCCTAGAAGTTAGTTATTATTCTCTGTCTTAGTTCATTTGGGCTGCTGTAACAAAATACCAAAGACTGGGTAGTTTATGAACAATAGAAACTTATTTCTGACAGCCCCAGAAGGTGAGAAGTCCAAGATCAAGGCACCAGAACTGTGAGACATTCCAGTCAAGACACCAAGCATAAATGTGTGCCGCTGAGAGCTCTCTTCCCAGCTCACAGCCAGCACCTTCTCACTGTGTCCTCACAAGGTGGAAAGGAGCAAGGGCTCTTTCTGGAGACGCTTTTATAAGGACACTAATCCCATGCGTGAGGCTCCACCTCATGACCTAATTACCTCCCAAAGGCTCCACCTCCTAATACTATCACCTTGGAGGTTAGATTTCAACATATGAATTTAGGAGGAACACACTCAGGCCATAGCATTCCCATTCAAAACACAAAATTAGTGGCTATGAGATGTCACCCCGCTGGGAAGTGATAGAAATTGGATTCTAACTCAGATTTCTCTAATTCCAAAGCCCACGTTCTCTCTATCACATTCTGTTGGGTTGTCAGGAAAGTCATGATGTATTTTTTTCTACATTTTTCAGTGCAAAAATGCATCATGACTTTCCCGATGACCCAATATTTCCCCACGGCTAAGTTTATGACATGGTCACCCAAAGGGCTTGGAATCCAGTCAGAGGCGGAGGCCTCTTTCTTGGAGAACATACCTAATCTAGTCAAAAGAATCTCAACCTTTTCTCACCACCTCTACTGCAAACTCCCTGATCTAAGCTGCCATTCCCTCCATACAGATTATCATACTAGCCTCCTCACCAGTCTCCCAGCTCCCATCCTTGCCCTCATACATTCTATTCTCAACACAGGAACCAAAGTAATAGAGCATAGGTGAGATCACAGCATCACTCTTCTGCTAAACCCTGCAGTGGCTCTGCAACATACTCAGAATAAAAGCTGCACGCCTTACAAAAACTGACAAAATCCTACTCCATTAGGCCCCATCCATGCCTCTCTGGCCTCACCTCAGATCTTTGCTACCCCTCCCCATGGATCACTCCAATCTAGCTATACTGGCCTCCCTGATGTACCTTTTGACTGCTATGCTGCGTCTTCCCTTTGCCTGCCATGTTCTTTTCCCAGATTCCCCATCACAAGCTCCCGTGCATCTTTTAAGTCTGTGCCTCAAATGCTGTCTCCTCTGTGAAGTCTTTGCTGACCACGCTATTTAAAATTGTACCCCAACTCCTACCTCATTCCTTATTCCCCTACTCTTCTTTATTTTTCTCCAAAGCACCTATCACTTGACATACCATTAATACTTGTTTGCTTATGTTCAGTTTTCTGCCCCCTGTAGAATATAAGTTTCACAAGAACAGGAACTTTTGTGTGATCACTTACTACTGTAGCTCTAGTTTCCAGAACAATTCCAGACACATAGTAGGTACACAATCACCATCCAATGAGTGAATGACACATTGATAAATAAATGGTCACTGGCACTTCAAGTCTCAGTTGACAGACTAACAGAAGACACTGGCCTGTGCAGTCATTGCAAGCCTACTTGGATGATGGGTGCTGCACTGGGAGGGGTGCCTTGCTACACTCCACTGCACTCCAATTAGAGGCAGCCTTTGAGTGCATATGCAGAGCTCAGCAAAGTTTGGCTTCCCCTGGTACAACCAAATGTCTGTTTCACATCCTCTTTTCAGTTCAGTGCACCATTTAAGACATCTACAGCAATGGAAACAGAATGTTTATTTTAATTTAAAATAACCTTTTTCAGAAGAGGCGTGAGCTTTCCATTTTAAACAGGCTTGCCAATCTTTAATTCAATAATGAGTACCAAGAGA